TCGGCAATGTCTCTCTCACTGCCTGATTTCCTTCCTTACCTTCTCTCCCTCCCTCCTTTCCTCCCTTCCTGCCTTCCTCCCTTCCTCCCTTCCAAAAAAATAAAAAATAATAATTTTTTAAGTTAACAAAGTTTTTAGAAATTGCTTTTCTATATGTTTGGACTCTCCCTTTATGGGTTAGAATCAGTGAATATAGTTGCTCTTAATTGCCTTGTTTTGTTTTTGCCTAATAGCTGCCTCTATTCCCTTGAGCTGCCTGCTGAGGACTGGAACTTTATCTTTGTGTAAGGGGGTGGGGACAAAATGATCAACATTGTTTAAATCCCTTAGGAAGAGTAATACAGCTGAGGATAATTTGCCTTGGTTGGGTTTGTGTTAGAGCCACCTGTGTGAGGAGGTGGGCACAGACAGCTCTAACTACCAAGCTAGCAATGAAATAGGAGGAGACAAACATGTATTCCAGCTCTGCTCCTTTTGAGCTCCCTCTACTCCCACACCTACAGCTGCTGCTGATGACTAATGTTAAGCAATTTGGGGGGGCCTTGTGTCTTTTAATAGTAGTAAAGAGGAGTTGTGGTTATCATGTGGCTTCTCATTTTCCACTTAGGATGTCTTTTAAATTTCCAGAAATTCTATGTTGTTCCAATTTGAGGTTTCTATTTTTTATAGAAAGAATTGGTTTTTCAAAATGAAAACTTCATTTTTTCAAAATAAAATTTATGGTGATTAGGTCTTATAATTATGGGAAAGTTTTTAGATTAAAGTAGAAAATTGGTGCCAGTGAATAAAGACACTTGTTGAGAAAGCAGACTTAGGGAAAGGTCTCCTATTCACCATTTTGACCTGAAGAAATCACCTTTTTTTTTTTTTTTTATGAGATGGAATCTCACTCTGTCGCTCAGGCTGGAGTGCAGTGGTGTGATCTTGGCTCACTGCAACCTCTGCCTCCTGGCTTCAAGCGATTCTTCTGCCTCAGCCTCCCAAGCAGCTGGGGTTACAGGCATGTGCCACGACACCCAGCTAATTTTTGTATTTTTAGTAGAGACGGGGCGGGCGGGGGGTGGGGGTGGGGTTCACCATGTTGACCAGGCTGATGTCAAACTCCTGACCTCCAGTGATCAACCAGCCTTAGCCTCCCAAAGTGCTGGGATTACAAGCATGAGTCACTGTGCCTGGCCTAGAATGCTTTAATTTAGGTTTTTCTCTTTTTCATATTTTTTCTATATCTTTTTTTTTTTGTCTTTGAGATGAAATCTCACTCTCTTCCCTAGGCTGGAGTGCAGTGATGTGATCTCGGCTCACTGCAAGTGATTCTGCCTCCAAGGGATTCTCCTACCTCAGCCTCTTGAGTAGCTGGGATTACAGGCACATGCCACTCATTTTTGTATTTGTTTTTAGCAGAGATGGGGTTTCACCATATTGGCCAGGCTGGTCTCGAACTCCTGACCTCAAGTGATCCACCCACCTTGGCCTCCCAAAGTGCTGGGATTACAAGCGTGAGCCACCACCCCCAGCCTTTCGTATTTCTTTATAAAGCTGATGAGAATATTATTTATTGGTAAACTGATTATATTATGGAATGAGAACTCCTGGTGACTTTATTACAGTCAAAATCCTTTAAAGATGAGAAGAATGTTTTTATTTGGAACCTCTCATTTTCTTGTTTTCCATCATTATCTGCCGGTGTAGTGAGTTAGCATTTATCTTCTTGACACATTTCATGAATCTGTTGATTGGGTTTCTGAGTTATTATAATATTATTTAGATTCAAATGAAGGCTTTTAGCTTTGATTTAATTTACTGGATCGGAGTCTTATTTATTTTTATTATTTTGAGATGCAGTTTCGCTCTGTCACCCAGGCTGGAGTGCCTGTACTCCCGGCACTTTGGGAGGCCAAGGCAGGAGGATCACTTGAGGTTAGCAGTTTGAGACCAACCTGGGCAACATATGAAACCCTGTGTCTATAAAAATACAAGAATTAGCTAGGCGTGGTGGTGTGCACCTGTAGTCCCAGGTACTTGGGAGGATCGGTTGAACCCGGGAGGTTGAGGCTACAGTGAGCCTGGGTAACAAAGCAAGACCTTGTCAAAAAAAAAAAAAAAAGTGGGTGAAATAATATATACCTTTTTGATTTTGACAACTACTGCTTACGTTGTCTTCCAAAGATACTGTCTAAATTTACATTCTCACTTAGATATGAGGGGCCTGTTTGTCCACACCTCAGTACCTGTGTGTTTTGTCATTTTGGAGTTTTGTGAAAATGATGATACACAGGTGGCCAGGCGTGGTGGCTCATGCCTGTAATCCCAGCACTTTGGGAAGCCAAGGTGGGCAGATAACAAGGTCAGGAGTTCGAGACCAGCCTGGCCAACATAGTGAAACTATGTCTCTACTAAAAATACAAAGATTAGCTACCGATCCAAGATGGCCGATCACTAACAGCTCAGGATTGTAGCTCCCAGTGAAAGCTCAGAGAACGAGACGACGCCACACTTTTAGACGAATTTTCGTCACTCACGGATCAGCTGATTCCCAGTGGAGGAGCCCCACAGGTCGCCAGCGCGACTCTTGTGGCTGCTGCAGCAGTTTCACCAGCGCCACGGCGCAGCAGCTGAGCAAACGGCACCACTTCCCCTACTGACCCGAGTTTGGAGCTCCTGGAAGTCAGAGCCGCTTGTTGCGGACTCAAGAGGGAAGCCAGACCAGAGATTCCCAGGCAGAAGAGCAACATCAGTCTTATCGCTGCTATTTAGGCTGCCACAGTGGGTTGCTCGGATCCCAGCACGGGAAATCAATAAATCAGACATCGACTCAGAAACCTAATTAGAAAGGCGGTTCATCTACAATGAAGGGAAAAAAACAGCCTAAGAAGGCCGAGTATACCCAAAATCAGAACCCATCAGCAACGGAACAAGCCCTGATGGAAAAGGACTCATCAGCAACGGAACAAGCCCTGATGGAAAAGGACTCATCAGCAGCAGAACAAGTCCTGATGGAAAAAGACTGTTCCATTATCTGAAATAGGCTTTAAAAGGTGGATGATGAGAAACTTCTGGGAGTTAAAGGAACTTGTTCTAACTAACTTAGTTTCAATGTAAAGAAACTAAGAACTTTGAAAAAAGGTTCGATGAAATGATGAAAAGAATAGACAATATAGAGAGGAATACAAATGAACTTATGGAGTTGAAAAATACAACACGAGAACTTAGTGAAATATGTACAAGCTTAAATAGCCGAATGGATCAAGCAGAAGAAAGGATATCAGAGGTCGAAGACCAACTCAATGAAATAAAACGACAAGAATAGAGAAAAAAGGATAAAAAGGAATAGCAAAGTCTCCAAGAAATATGGGACTATGTGAAAAGACCTAATATACGTTTGATTGGTGTACCTGAATGTGATGGAGAGAATGAATTCAAGCTGGAAAATATTCTTCAGAATATTATCCAGGAAAATTTTCCTAATTTAGCAAAGCAGGACACTATTCAACCCCAGGCAATACAGAGAACACCACAAAGATATTCCTCAAGAAGACCAACCCCAAGGCACATAATTGTTAGATTCACCAGGATTGAAGTGAAGGAGAAAATATTAAGGGCAGCCAGAGGGAAAGATCAGGTTACCCATAAAGGGAAGCCTATTAGGCTTACAGCAGATCTCTCAGCGGAAACCCTACAAGCTAGAAGAGAGTGGGGGCCAATATTCAACATCCTTAAAGAACAGAACTTTCAGCCCAGAATTTCATATCCAGTCAAACTAAGCTTCACAACTGAAGGAAAAATAAAATCTTTTAGGAACAAGCAAGTACTCAGAGGTTTTATTACCACCAGGCCTGCTTTACAAGAACTTCTAAAAGAAGCATTATACATAGAAAGGAACAACCAGTATGAGCCTTTCTAAAAATACACCAAAAAGTGAAGAGCACCAACATAAAGAAGAATTTACATCAACGAAAGGATAAAATAGCCAGTTAATATCAAATGGCAGTAACCCTAAATTTAAATCGACTAAATCCCCCAATCAAAAGATACAGACAAAATCTAATGGTATATCTAAAGATATACAAAGACTCAAAATAAAGGGTTGGAAAAAAACCCAATTAAACGGAGAGCAAAAATAAATAAATAAAAAGCAGGAGTTGCAATTCTCACAATTAATAAAATAGATTTCAAAGCTACAAGGATACAAGGCTAAAAGGATTAATGTAATAATAAGAGATCTTAACACCCAGATACATAAGACCCATAATGAGATTTAGATTCAACGAGACAGAAAATTGATAACGATATCCAGGACTTGAACTCAGATCCAGAACAAATAAACTCAATAGAGCTCTCCATTTTAAACACACAAAATATACATTATCCACTTTAAACACACAAAATATTGATCAGCTGTTATTGTTACCCATTTTAGGAATGAAGTAATATTTCTTTTTCCCTCTTTTTCTTTCTCTTAAAAAAAAATCCCTAGACAAATTAAATTTAACATTTATTCAAGCAAAGAAATGACTCATGAATCAGGCACCACTCTGACCCAGTAAAAACAAAAAAAAAAAAACAAAAAAAAAACAAAGATTAGCCAGGTGTGGTGTTATGCGCTTGTAATCTGTAGTCCCAGCTACTGGGAAGACTGAGGCAGGAGAATTGCTTGAACCTGGGCGGTGGAGGTTGCAGTAAACTGAGATCACACCATTGCACTCCAGCCTGGGTGACAGAGTGAGACTCTGTCTCAAAAAGAAAAAAAAAATCACACTTACTGTGGGTAAAAATGGTATCTTAGTGATTTTAATTTGCATAAACTAGGGTTTTTTTCTAATCTAAAAATACACTTACGTGGTTTAAAAGTTAAACAGTATTATAAGGCTTATAACAACAACAAAAAGCAGTTCTCTGCTTTCCTCCCTGCCTCAACTTCCTTTTCAAGTTTCCATGGGTAATCATAAGCATTTCTTCTTGTATTAACATCCAAATTTCTGAATAACATGGTTATACTGATTTCTTAATCTTTTCAGTTTTAGACATTTCTTTCTTTCTTTTTTTTTATAAGTGCACGAATCCACATTTATTTATTGAGTTTTCATTCGTTTAAATCCTTGAGGGGTAAGCCTCACTCAGATTTTGTGTCCAATAGCCTTAGCAGGAAGGTTGCTTTGGAATTTAGCATGAACCGTGCCACTGTTTCCATAGGCCTTTCCCCAGATTACTCTGGTTTTGTTTGGTTTGCTGCCAGGAGTCACTGTGTTGTTCTTTGCTTTGTATACATATGCACATCTCTTGCCCAAATAGAATTCCGTTTCATCTTGGGCATAAACACCTTCAATTTTAAGAAGAGCTGTGTGCTCCCTTAGGTTCTGAAGACCCTGCTTACAGCCAGCAAAAATAGCCTTGGACCACAGCCTTCTAGACATAGTTCCTTTTAGAAGTCCTGTTCCCAGCAAGCCGGTGACTTGCCAAGGTATAGGAACAAACCTACTCCAGTTATTTGCCTCCAAATTTCAGCCGACATTTCTATTATGGAAGATGAGGATTTCGTTTTCTTGAATTTTCTACCCTTTTCATTCATCCTTCCCTTTTTCCTGGCTTTATTGGTAGGCAGATTGTATAACACTGTATTTAGAACAACTCTAAGTACCTTTGTGTACAACCCAGTTATTCCTTTATAACTGTGTGTCAGGTCTTCATCATGCATGCCAGTCTGAAAAGTTCTTAATAACTCAAGGCTTGAAAATTATATTCTCTGTATCTTTAGAGTACTTCAAATGATTCTGATTTCTCAATTACACATCACCTAAATTTCATATATTTTTCATTCTAAAGCCATAAAAATACCTGTAATTAAGACTTATTCCTAGTAACCTATAGTCTTGGTGAAGTTCCCGTTTGTTTGTAAGGAACCTTTTAATTTTATGGAACAAATCCTTTATTGCATTTAATAGCAGGCAATGATTATTGAGTGGTTGTCAGTAAGTGTCAGACATTGTTCTAAGTGCTACATCTGTATGAACTCATTTAAACCATCTAACAACCCTGTAAGGAAGATGCTAGCATTATTTGTATTTTACAGATGAAGAAACTGAAACACAGAGAAGATAAAATATCTTGCTTGAAGTCATTCAGTCTGGAAGTGGTGGAGCTGAGTTGGAAACTTAAGCAGTCTGGCTCCATCCAGACCCCCTCCCTTATCACTCTGCTCTATTGCAGCTGTTAAAATGATGTACTCAACCTCAGCAGAGTGTGTGCTTTGGTTTGATTTTCCACTAGTGGTGATGGATTTACACCAACCTATCTATGTTTAACATTTCTTATTCCTTTTACCTTTTTTTCCCCCAAATCACCATATTCCTGAAAATTTTAATAATAATTTTCTAATTGTGGTTAAAAAAAAAACCCACATAATATAAAAATTGCCACCATAACCATTTAAAAATATACAGTTCAGGAGTGTTAAGTATATTCACATTGTTGTGTAACAGATTTCCCAAAGTTTTTTTTTTTTAACCTTTGCAAAACTGAAATTCCATACCCATTAAACAACAACCCCCAGCCCCTAGCCCACCATTCTACTTTCTGTTTCTATAAGTTTGACTATTTTAAGTACCTCATATAAGTGGAATCATAGAGTTTTTGTCCTTTTGCAACTGGCTTATTTCACTTAGTGTAGTGCTTTCAAGGTTCATCCGTGTTATAGCATGTGACAGGATTTCCTTTTTTAAAGGCCCAATAATATCTTCTTGTATGTATACACCACATTTTGTTTATTCATCCGTTGATAGACACTGGTTGCTTTCACCTCTTTTGTGAATAATGCTACTGTGAACATGAGTTTGCAAATATCTCTTTGATATTTTGCTTTGAGATTTTTAGAATATGTATCCAGAGTTGGGAGTCCTGGATCATGTAGTAGTTCTGATTTTAATTTTTTTAGAACCTTTATACTGTTTTCCATAGTGGCCATACCATTTTACATTCTTGTCAACAGTGCCCAAGGGTTCCAATTTTTCTACATCTTTACTAATACTTATTTTCTTTTCTGTTTTTGTTTTTGCTTTGTTTTATTTTGGGTAGCAGCCATCCTAGTAGGTACAAGATGATGACTCATTGTCTTGTTTTGTTTTGTTTTGTTTTCTTTAAGACGGAGTCTCTCTGTCATACAGGCTGGAGTGCAGTGGCTCGATCTCAACTCACTGCAACCTCTACTTCCCAGGTTCAAGCGATTCTCTTGCCTGAGGCTCCCTAGTAGCTGGGACTACAGGCTTGTGCCACCACACCTGGCTAATTTTTGTATTTTTAGTAGAGACAGCGTTTCACCATGTTGGCCAGGCTGGTCTCAAACTCCTGACCCCAAGTGCTAATTTTTGTATTTTTTGTAGAGACAGGGTTTCACCACGCTGGCGAAGCTGGTCTCAAACTCCTAACCTTAAGTGATCTGCTGGCCTTGGCCTTCCAAAGTGCTGGGATTACAGGTGCAAGCCATTTCACGTGGCCCTTGTTTTGTTTTGTTTTTGAGATCGAGTCTTGCTCTATCACCAGCTTGGAGTGCAGTGGCGCAATCTTGGCTCACTGCAGTCTTCGCCTCCCGGGTTCAAGCGATTCTCCTGCCTCAGCCTCCCAAGTAGCTGGGACAACAGGCACATGCGACTACGCCTGGCTAGTGTTTGTATTTTAGTAGAGACGGGGTTTCACCATGTTGGCCAGGATGGTCTCAATCTTCCGAATTCGTGATCCACCTGCCTCCACCTCCCAAAGTGCTGGGATTACAGGCATGAGCCACTTCGCCTGGCCTTGTTTTTTTTTTTAAGAGCACATGAGCTCCATTGTGGTTTTGATTTGCATTTCTCTAATGATGAGTGTTATTCAGCATCTTTTCACATGTTTGGTGACCATTTGTTTATCTTCTCTGGAGAAATGCCTGTTTAACTCCTTTGCCTATTGCAAAGCTGGGTTATTTGTTTTTGTTGTTGTGGAGTTGCAGGAGTTCTTCATGTATTCTGGATAGTAACCCTTTATAAGATATATGACTTGCAAATATTTTCTGCCATTTTATTGATTGCCTTTTTACTCAGTTGATTGCATAGAAGTTTTAAGTGTAATGTAATCCCATTTGTCCATTATTGCTTTTTTGCAATATGTATTGTACTTTTGCTGTCATATCCAAGAAATTGCCAAATCCTGCCTCATGAAGCTTTTCCCCTCTTTGCTTCTAGGAGTTTTTTTAGTTTTAGGTCTTACATTGGGTTCTTTATTTCTTTTTGAGTTAGTTTTTGTATATGGTGTAAGGTAAGGGTCCAGCTTCATTCTTTTGCACGTGGATGTCCAGTTTTCCCCATGTCATTTGTTGAAGTGACTGTCCTTTTCTCATCTAATGGTCTTGGCTCCTTTGTTGAAGATCTTTTGACCATATATGTGAGGGTTTATTTCTGGGCTCTCTATTCTATTGGTCTAGATATATGTCTTTATGCCAGTACTACACTATTTTGATCACTATAGCATTGTAATATGTATTAAAATCAAGAAGTGTGAGCCAACTTTTTTTTTTTCAGGATTGTTTTGGGATCTATTACTGAAATTCACAAATATGCACAATATAATATTTATCATTTTAACCATTTGTATGTTGATGCCAAATGACTTGTATTAAATACATTCACAGTGTTGTGTAACCATCACCAGTCTAACCCAAAACTTTTCATGACCCTAACAAAAACTTTGTACCCATTGAACAATAACTCCTTCCGCCGAGCCCTTGGTAACCTCTGTTCTGCTTTTTGTCTCTCTTTCTCATCTCCCTTTAATATGTGTTCCCATTCCATAAATATAAAAACATTAGGCCTTCTTTTGTGATTTGGAAATGAAAAATAAGTATAAAGATGAACAATAAAGAGTAATAAGTTGAGAACTACACATGTCTATTCTCTCATTTCTCTACGTTGAGAGTCATTGATCTGTACCTTCTGGTTCAGGGGTCATAGTACTAGGGATGTGGTCTGTGACCATATACTTCTTTAGAGCAAGGCCAACTTGAATATGGAATCTGGTTCATTGATTTTCTTAGCTTTAAGCTCTAGCTCAGTGAGGTACTAATCCCAGACTGACAGTTTTGAATCTTGCTTCATCATATAAAAACCCAAGATTTAATAATTTTTATTTCCTTTAATATATTCAGCCATTATTATTTATTTTTTATTATTATTTACTAGTCTCCCCACATTTCAGGTTTTAATACAATATGATATTTAATTTAATTGATACAATATAGTGTTATATACATTTATTCCCATTTGGAAAAATGATTAACTGAATGGTTTCTTTCTTTCTTTTCTTTTTTTTTTTTGTTTTTTGAGACGGAGTTTCGCTCTTGTTACCCAGGCTGGAGTGCAATGGCGCGATCTCGGCTCATGGCAACCTCCACCTCCTGGGTTCAGGCAATTCTCCCGCCTCAGCCTCCCGAGTAGCTGGGATTACAGGCACGTGCCACCATGCCCAGCCAATCTTTTTCGTATTTTTAGTAGAGACGGGGTTTCACCATGTTGACCAGGATGGTCTCGATCTCTTGACCTCGTGATCCACCCACCTCGGCCTCCCAAAGTGCTGGGACTACAGGCGTGAGCCACCGCACCCGGCCTCTTTCTTTTCTTAATACTTTATTTTTTTAATTGCATTTTAGGTTTTGGGGTACATGTGCAGAATATGCAAGATAGTTGCATAGGTACACACATGGCAGTGTGTTTTGCTGCCTTCCTCCCCTTCACCCACATTTGGCATTTCTCCCCAGGCTGTCCCTCCCCAGCTCCCCCACTCCGCTGTCCCTCCCCTGCTCCCCACAATAGACCCCAGTGTGTAGTACTCCCTTCCCTGTGTCCATGTGTTCTCATTTTTCCTCACCCGCCTATGAGTGAGAATATGCGGTATTTCATTTCCCTGTTCTTGTGTCAGTTTGCTGAGAATGATGTTCTCCAGATTCATCCATGTCCCTACAAAGGACACGAACTCATAATTTTTGATTGCTGCATAATACTCCATGGTGTATATGCCACATTTTCCCAGTCCAGTCTATCATCGATGGGCATTTGGGTTGGTTCCAGGTCTTTGCTATAGTAAACAGTGCTGCAATGAACATTCATGTGCATGCGTCCTTATAGTAGAACGATTTATAGTCCTTTGGATATATACCCAGTAATGGGATTGCTGGGTCAAATGGAATTTCCATTTCTAGGTCCTTGAGGAATTGCCACACTGTCTTCCACAATGGTTGAACTAATTGACACTCCCACCAGCAGTGTAAAAGTGTTCCTATTTCTCCACATTCTCTCCAGCATCTGTGGTCTCCAGATTTTTTAATGATCGCCATTCTAACTGGCGTGAGATGGTATCTCAATGTGGTTTTGATTTGCATCTCTCTGATGACCAGTGATAATGAGCATTTTTTCATATGTTTGTTGGCCTCATGTATGTCTTCTTTTGTAAAGTGTCTGTTCATATCCTTTGCCCATTTTTGAATGGGCTTGTTTGTTTTTTTCCTGTAAATCTGTTTGAGTTCTTTGTAAATTCTGGATATCAGCCTTTTGTCAGATGGGTAAACTGCAAAAATTTTTTCCCATTCTGTTGGTTGCCGATTCACTCTAGTGACTGTTTCTTTTGCCGTGCAGAAACTGTGGAGTTTGATTAGGTCTCATTTGTCTATTTTGGCTTTTGTTGCCAATGCTTTTGGTGTTTTGGTCATGAAGTCCTTGCCTACTCCTATGTCCTGAATGGTTTTGCCTAGATTTTCTTCTAGGGTTTTTATGGTGTGAGGT